ACTTCGAGAGATCACCTAAATCTCTATTTTCAGGGTTTTACAATCCCCACCTGTAATCCGCATGTTCACAGACGCACGTATGGCCTCCGCACACCGTCCAGATGCCCTTGTGGCTCTGTGTCTTGGCCCTAAATGACCAGTGCTGACTTAGGTCAGGCTTACAGCTGATAGGACAGATCCTAAACCAGCCACCATTATTTCTGAGAATTTGCATTCTGATTGTAAAGTACTGATTGCGGGATCTTTCTTCTTTTTTTTTCTTTTTCCTTTTCTTTTCGGTTTTTGTACTTCTCTTTATCTCGTAACCTTTTGCCTGTTCGGTTAACGAGGATCCTACTGCCAGTATTCATTCCCTGGAGTTTTATTCAACAATTATTTTCGCATTTTCTGAGGAAGAAAAGAGGGGGGGGGGGTGTCCGTGTCCATGGTGTGGTAAAGCATCAACAAAAAAAAAGAATCAACCCTAGAAGTGTGTGTGTGTGTGTGTGTGTGTGTGTGTGTGTGTGTGTGTGTGTATGTGTGTGTGTGTGTGTGTGTGTGTGTGTGTGTGTGTGTGTGTGTGAGTGTGGGTGGGTCTACAAAACCTCATTTAATTTTGTTCTTCACACAATGAAAACCCGGTCGGAAGTGAAATTAAAACGAAAAATGAAGCCTTGTTCTCTTCATGAAGAAAATGCATGCCTGGTGGGACAAGAGTGTGAACCATTTCATTCTGAAAAGCTCAAGATTTAAATCGAAAGATGCTGTTCATACTTTTCTAAATTTCGTTACTTTCAGCCAGCCATTAAGCTGAGCTATGATTAATATAATACACTTTTATATTACTTACATTTACAGCGAATTGTAGAAAGCATTGAATAACTTTTTAACTCATACCACGTACCTTTCTTCTTTCGAAGACGATCCCCATCTATCTATCTATCTATCTATCTATCTATCTATCTATCTATCTATCTATCTATCTATATGTGAGATTGTCAATTTGTTGTGTGTGTGTGTTTGTGTGTGTGTGTGTGTGTGTGTGTGTGTATGTGTGTGTGTGTATGTGTGTGTGTGTTTCTGTGCCTCCAGTTCCCTCCCAACGTTATTCACATTTGTCATTGCCATTTGAGATTGTCAAGAACGCACTTTATTCCTTCTTCAGTGAGTCAGCGAGAAGTCCGTACTGGGAGTGCCGAAAGGACAACGCTACTTGCCCATTACGTAAATATTTTAGATAAGACAATACGTGATGCAGTCTGCTTTCGTAACTCCTCGGCCCACTAGATCGCTTGGCATTAGGTAAAAGTCTATAAGTGAGGCATCGTGGTGAAATCAAGCGCTCGTCAAAATAATAAAATCTGAGAAACAAGAGGGATTTTTTTTCGCCCATTTGGCAATTTTTATCGAATATTTGCTTTAAGCCCAAGCCCTTTAATGATAAAAAAATACATTTCCTTGTTAATTTAACAAAAAACAAAAAAACGTTAACAAAAGGCACAAAAATGTGATTTCTCAGTGTTCAAGGACTCTTTAGCTATTGAAGTTGCCAAATCTTGGCGGCTATTTTCCTGCTAATTTTACCACTGAAACCAGGCAATCTCATCTCCTACAATTGCAAATATCTTGACTTCCATTCAAGACAGATGGGTAATTTTTTCATTGAAAGCAAGGCAAATTAATAAGCTTTCAGATGATACCAATAACTCCACATGCCCAAAAATAGCCGAGTGCCTGATTTCACCCCGTCGTAACACATTCTTTCAATTGTTTCCCGACTAGAAACCTAGATAGATACATACAAAACTTCTAAGGAGAACAATACTAAGAATAAAGTCCAAATACGTCTCTGTCTTCGAAGTAACGTATTCTATTTTAATAGGGAGTTCTGAAAGAAGTTCACGTGGGCCGCTCTCTTACACGAACAGGTATGAAACAACAAATGCGGTTTCTGGAACCTTTACATCGTCACAAATGTTCTGGACGTCTTGTTTTCATTGGAAACAAAAGAAGGCAAACGAGACAGGGATAGATCGAAAGAATCTTATATAGAAAAACCTGAACAGAATGGTGACTGGGAAATAACCAGGATAATAATTGTTATTTTGAGAGCATCTGAGCAAGGCAGTGATTAGAGAAAAATGACTGCCGATGCCTGTCCCAGACGTATCACTTTATTCGAAGATTTGAACTCTCATGTAAAACTGTGTCATAGATGAAACCGTCATGAAAAAACAGCCGTAAATAGTCGAAAATGGCTCGAGACCTTAGCGTATGGACACTAAGCACGAGGAACTTCCACAGTTTGGGCTGCAATGCAATAGAGAAGACAAAAAATGTATCTAGACTTTCACAACACCAGGCATTGTAGGACATTGCATTCAGACTTCGAATGTTTAGAATGTGGAAGATATTGTAGATCCAAAGTATTCCTTGTGGCCCATGAACTTTCGTACAATCATAGTAATCATCGACATCGGTAGACTGCGGAAGAAGAAGAAGAAGAAGAAGAAGAAGAAGAAGAAGAAGAAGAAGAAGAAGAAGAAGAAGAAGAAGAAGAAGAAGAAGAAGAAGAAGAAGAAGAAGAAGAAGAAAAAGGAGGAGGAGGAGGAGGAGGAGGAGGAGGAGGAGGAGGAGGAGGAGGAGGAGGAAGAGGAGGAGGAGGAGGAGGAGGTCACAAAATAGCACTCTGGGAACAGTCTCAATCAGCGCTTGCCGTATTATGGAAAAAAACTTGTTGTAGCTATATGCAGAAAGCATGAGTTCGATTCCCGTAATGGGAACTGTACTTTTTGGAGTATATTTATGTTTTTCTTGGTATGTTCTTTCCAGCTCGGCCCGATGTTGTGTCCTTAGGAAAGGCAATCTTCACGAATTTCCCATTTGGCTCGGTCTGTTCGGAGATGAACGTTATACTCGATGATCCCTACTCTTTAATAACCTAAGAGTGTTGGTGGGGCTTTAAACTCTAGCATTTCACTATTTTCTATCATGCTGTATCGAGTTCTTCCCGAGTTGACCAAGACAAGAACAGCTGTAGCGAACCGTTACCTTAATTAACCAAACTGGGCTGTTGTTGGGATCATATAATTAGAACTACGCTTAATGTGCCTATTCGACACCCCCCCCCCTCCACCCCCTGTCTTTTTAAGATCTCCATGTTACACTAATGGAAATTACAATAGTAGACGCAACTTCTTTGACGAGCTCAAAGCGTCAGAAGTAGGGTCAGATTTATTAAGAAACAAATGTGAGGCAGCGTGGTGGAATCAGGCTCTTGTCAAAATAATCAAAGTGCAGAAACTTGCACTTTTCCGCAGGTTTGTGCATTTTTATCAAATTTTTGTTGTTAGGCTCAACACCTGTAATGCCCATTAAAGAACTCATTTCTGCGTGGATTTTTCAGAAAAGCGTTGATTAAAGGCACAAAAATGTAAATGTTCAGTAACTACGGACTCTTAAGCTAAGGAAACAAGTAATCTTTGGAGGCCGTTTTCCAACAGATTATACCTCTGAAAACAGGTGACCCCCACCTCCTTCATTCTCAAATATCTTGACTCTTGTATTTAAGATAAACGGATATTCTTTTCATCCATATAAAGACAAGTGAACAAGCTTTAAGATGATACCAATAATTCTCTGTGCCCAAAAATTGACGAGAGCCTGATTCCATCATGCTGCCTCACAAATAGTATGATAAAAATCAGCGTAGCATGAAATTTTGACAACTGCCCTTCCATACGCCACCCCCCACCCCCTTATCTTTTTTTTAAGGAAAAAAAAACCAAACAAAGAATACATCAAAAGTAGTCTAAATAACTGTACATACTCCCAGATTCTCAAAAGAGCATTCATGGTGAGTCACAACTATTCTCGTAACATATTCTCCTTCATTTGTATTTTTTTCTTTACAAAAAAAGAGAAAAAATAAGAATAACACAACAATCAGTATTTCGCCGGCAAGTTGTTATCATGTACCGAGACCGGAAGGCATTTTTCTACAAGAGAGGGAAAAAAGGTTTTCGTTCTAATAACAACTGTACCAATTTGAAGTAATTTTTTAAACTCTGTATTTTTTTCAAAATTTAGGATTTCAATTTCCACCAAAAATTAATTTCTTGTGTTCACGTAACCAATACCATGGATAAAGAATCTGTTTGTCTGTTCTTTTAATGGATTTCGTTCATTTGAACAGCTGGACTACGATTTGCTTTAACTGTCTCAAAAATGGGTCAAATTAGTCTCAGTTATGGCTTACGATCCCCCAGGAGAGTTAATGGGGATTCCAAGCTATCGCCTTTGTCGGTAGTATGTGGGTGTTAGGCTGAACAGCGGTCAGCCGCTTAGCTGAAGTGTTTGCGGTATTGATTCAAACTGCCAAAGTCATGAATATTTCTAACATAATGGCTCCTTACACGAGGGACTAAGGCGCATAAATAAAAGTACTTAACAGTGCACTTCACTATAATAAGCATACAAGATTACGTTTGTGATAATACAGTCATAATAGTACTGCTTCTACTAACGATAATTAGAAAAAGGGAATGAGAGAGAGAGAGAAAGAGAGAGAGAGAGAGTGAGAGAGAGAGTGAGTGAAAAGGGGAGGGAGACGGAGTGAGTCAGAGAAGATAAAAACAGAGAGACAGAGAGGCAGGCTGACAGACAGACCGAGAAAGAAAGATAAACTGAGAACGAGCGAGCGAGCGAACGAGAGAGAGAGAGGGAGAGAGAGAGAGAGAGATAGAAAGAGAGAGAGAGAGAGAGAGAGAGAGAGAGAGAGAGAGAGAGAGAGAGAGAGAGAAAATAAAAGGACAGTTTTGGTTCGATGTATGTAATATATCATGATTTTTATCCATTGAATTTTTCCTTAAGTGTTCAACGGGAAAAGCAACCTTTATTCGCTTCTTCGCCTTCTTTTAGGGCAAAGAAGGAATGAGGTATGAATTCAACTGTCGGTTATTAACCGCAACGAAGAAGCTGAAAAAACCAATAATGTAACAATTGATTCAACAAGAACAATAATGTCGACCTCAGCAAGAGACTTTGGACTTGTGTCAAGCGATGACTGGAGGTCGGCCAGTCCACGTAAGTACCTTCTTTACTTGCGTGAATGGTATCCACTAGTTGTTTTTTTAATTGCCTTTAACTTCTATTTCTGTTTCTTTTTTATTAATTCATCCTCCTGCTAGATCGCTGTTAATTAATGTCGTTTGTTACAAATTCAGCCTGCTTTTAAGAGTGACTGACAGTGAGGTACTGACACATTGGCTCCTTCTTATTTTCGAAAGGAACTGCTTTGGGTTGTTTTTTTTAGTGCAACAGTGAATTGTGATTATTCATTCTGTCTTTTTGTGGAACTAGTCACATGACAATAATCTATGAAGTCTATTGCTATATCGCTAAAAGAATGGCGAGTGAATCTATCTAATATTATATTGTGGAAAAAAGGTACTAGTGAATTATTGTCCTCAGCCAGTCAAATGGCACTCGTTATAATATGGTATAACAATGAACTTTAACTTGTACCTTGTGCACGAAACGTGCATGTACACCACAGACTTCAGGTGAAACCAAAGGTATGGTTCATAATATTAGTGTGAAGGGGTCTTACTTTTTTTCAATTTGCTTTTCATTGACAGCTGTGCGTTGATATTGGATGGGGAAGGTGGAAATTGTGCTGCGGGGGGGGGGGGGGGTACGGTTCGCTGTTGCCTAAGTGGGTTTTTTTAAGATTATAATAATGATCTGATTATGGTTGTTGCTTTTGCTTTTTCTATTGTTGGTATAGCTAAGAAGGTAAATAGCTACTTTAGTCCTTCATTTTTAAACTAAAGAGATGAATGCGTACTTCGTGCCTGACTTTACGTATACACACATTATTCATGTTGCCTACTACAGAGTGCATACCCCAGATGTAGGCTATAGGTCAAGTTAAAATAGCATTTATCTCCTAGAATGGCGGGTGAAATCACAGCACGGCATGCTTAACTTGAAAAAACAGAGAAAAATCGTAATTCTGGAGGAGAAAATATTGAGATTTGCTAGGATACCACCTAATCAACAATTTTACATCATCTTCACACAATCTTTTACACTAATTCTTCTTCTCAGTATGTGTCGGAAATATTTTGAAAACACATGTTCATTGCTATAATGTCGAAATGACTTTTTATTTAAAGGATTCGTTTGTCTCGCACATTCCTTACCAACGCAACAATGTCATCACAGTTATGTTCGATGTTTAGTCCCCTGTCTACTAACGGTTCGTGCGCACGGATACCTATCGGCTTGGAGAAACAGACAAAAGTGCGCATGAAGTTCTAAAGTTGTTTTTTCTCAAATGTAGTTGTGCACCCTTCAGTCACAAAAATGACGATGTCTCAAAAACTATTTGAGATATCTGAAAAGAAAATTTAAAAACAGGGTCATTAGGTAAAGTCATTCTGCGCAGAATTGTAATAAACAACAAAACTTTTTAAAAGACCCTTTTTGCAGGCACATGTACATAATATCATAACGACACTTTTTGGGGAGTAAGTGTTTTACGGCCCTCACAACTGCATAAGGTCATATGAGCGTGCGAGACCCATTTAACATTTTCAGTTGGTAGGCAATTTTGAATTTTGCCTGGGTGGCGGCCGAAGCCTACTCTTATCGATTTTGGACCAGAGAGGGATTTTAAACGGGCGCAATTTGCACACAGGACCTCCGGGATTTACCGCCCTTGTCCGAGAAGGCTAGGTGTAGATCTTTCCTACCAGAAGATCAGGTGTGTGGCTGAAAGACAGCAGTTAGAAGGCGTCAAGGAGTAGCAGTAGAAAGGCCGCAGGAGTCAGAAGCTCAGAGGAAACGGCAAAGAAGGAGAAGAGGTGGGATCAGAAAATGGAGACGAAAGCAGGCGATAGAACATTGTTAGAGAGCCGGAAATGATGTAAAAGGAGAACATTTTAGAGGAAAAAATTGTTTTCGTCGCTATCTGGATTCCAACCCGGGATCTATTGAGTGAGAGGCGAATGCATTAACCTCTAGACCACGAGAGCGCCCCATGACACTTTCAAAGACACGCACATGTCTAGGATAACCATGTTTCTCTCCTACAATGGGTGGCGTCTTAGACAAGTTTGAATGTATGCACACGGCCATTTCCAACCGAACACAAAGGTTTTCGAACCAGAACCGCGGTGCTTAATGTCCAACATGATTCATCATCATCATCATCATCATCATCATCATCATCATCATCATCATCATCATCATCATCATCATCATCATCATCATCATCATCATCATCCAGTGACAGATCTGCAACAGATATCGGCGATCATGGTTCTCTATTCATTCCTTTGCTCGGACACTCTCAAAAAAGCTACGTTTCCCTGATCTTTCCCTGTTACCCATTTGTTTAGGTTCCCTAAGTATGTTGTTCTGGGCTTTCTCCTTCCTCGCTTGCCCTCAGTTTTGCCAGTGAGAGCTAGATGTTCAAGACCCTTATGTCTATTTATGTGTCCCAAAAACTGCAGTTGTCTTTTCCTGATTAAAGTAGTAAAATTGGCGAATCAGGTTTCTTGCATAGCGGAACATGTTCTCAAAAAAAACCAAAAACGGGAAAATCTTGAACCTAAATCAAACTCGAGCTTTGAACGTCCGCATGCTAATCAGCTACATAATTGATCTCTCTGAGTAAGCCGATCCGCCTGAAGGAATGACTTTAAATCTAGTTATCTGAGCCAATAGTAAGTATTTGATCAAAGGTCAGGCGTACGCTTATGCAGAAAAATCATCAGCTCAAGTAGTTTAAAGTAACAAAGAGTTTGTATTTGTCGTGTGCGCACGCTCGTGCGTGCGTGTGTGTGTGTGTGTGTGTGTGTGTGTGTGTGTGTGTGTGTGTATGTTTGTGTGTATGTGTGTGTGGGTGGGTGTGTGCGTGTGTGCGTGCTAACCTACGTGTGTGTGTTGCGTATATGATCTTTCAGCTGCGTGTGTCTATCAATCTGCTTGTGTGAGAGAGAGAGAGAGAAAGAGAGAGAGGGGTGGGGGAGTTTTGTATATGCTGTGGTCCTGTTTTAGTGTGAGCACGTCCGTATGGCTGTGATCATGTAGGTCTGTGTGTGTACGTGAGTGAATGTTATTATATGTGTGCGTGTACCTGTGAGTCTGTTCCTGCATGTGTAACGTGTGTGTGTGTGCGTGTGTGTGTGTGTGCGTTCGTGCGTGTGTGTGTGTGTATGTGTGTGTGTGTGTGTGTGTGTGTGTGCGTTTGTGTGTGTGCCTTGAGTGTGTATGGATATTATAATATATACATTATATAAGTAGAATATTTCAGTTCGGCTCTTTAAGAAGCGGAACGCTTCAGGGTACTATTGACTTAAACAATACCTTAAGTAGTTCCATATGCCAAATAACTATGAGAAAGCCTTACCTCTAACGTAAATGTATTTCTAAAATCAAAATTGAAATGCCCTACACTTTCAGTTTCATCTAAGATACTTGGTTCCTTTCACTCCCCCTTACTAGCTAAAGATCCCCCCCCCCACCCTAAAACTTTGAATTAGGATTGCTCGAAATGCATTTCACTATAACATTGGTTTAAAATGACAGCAAGCCTTCTATTAGAACTTCCAGTAACAAATTTATACCCCATAACGGTCCAGAAAATAATGTCTTAACCTGTAACACTCCATTCAGAGAAGAGGGCGCTTACCAAATGGCACAAGACAGACACACGAGCTCTGTGTGGTTGGCGTGCGTCATGACGCTGTGTCTATGTAGCGGTGAGCCATCAACAGAAGACGATGAGTTTGACACTTATCTGCCATCCGATCTGCCGTCTGTTGAGAACATCCCCAGCAACTGGAGTGCGAGCGAACACGAAGCTCTCAGTCGCTTATTAGGTGATCATCTAGACAAGATAGATCTTCACTCAGCAATGGAAAGGGCTGCCACTGTCGACAGTCGAGAATACATGTGAGTATAACTTTAACCTGAATCTGTCAGACCTTTTTGAAACTATTTTGATATAAAGAGTAGTTGGTAGGATTAAAGGCAGCAGCATGTATTTGGTCAGTTTTTAAACATTTTGTTTCAAAACACATACGGTACACACAAACATACACATGCAAGTACATGCGTTACTCCAATACAAACAGAAATGGGCACACATATATGCATATTATCCAGACACACGCACACCCACACATATACATACTAATACACACACACACTCACACACACACGCACACACACACACACACACACACACACACACACACATACACACACACACACACACGAACACGCACAACTAAAACGGTTTCAAACTGTACAGTGTAGTTGGGAAGCATTCTTGTCAGAAAAGGGGCAAAAAGAATGTTGTCCCCTATTTTTAAAAGATCGTGACGCATAAATTGCACACCGCTATGAAGACATTTTTGCACCTTGTTGAAAGGACAGAAGTTGTTTCTAGGGTGATCAGATAAAACAACTAAACATCTTTTTTGTAAAAAATTTTCCTGCACGCCAACTTTTTGTTTCAAATTTGTACTCACAATTTTGGAGTGTGTCTGATATTTATTTTAGATAAATCCACAGATAAGTTTTCTCTGCATATCGTATAAAAAATAAACAACCAATGTTCAGCTATGTCTCCATTTTTGGAAGCATGACGCACTCGTTTGCACTAGGCCTACCTCTAAAAGTCCCAACGATTGGACTATTTGCAAGCTACATTAGTCTAACAGGCCAACAGAATGTTGCAGGTAGCTTTTCTCAAGTTTCCTCTACCTGTTGAGATCATGGTTAATATTGGTAAAGAGCTGAGAGCTTTTTATATTGAACATTGCCTCACAACCAACTCATTTTGTAAGTTTCGCACTAAGTGCGGAAATAGCGTTAAAGTACCCTTAAGGCCTCCTTTGATATCAATGATGAAAATGATATATCGGTCAAGACGTGTAGAGAATCAGAACTAAAAATTTCCACACAAAGTGACCACTTCAGGTCAAACACACACCGTTCACACCCCTTTAAACGTTACCAGGGTGCAGCATTCAGTAGATGAGCCCCTTGAGATGTCTGTCCGTAGACAA